TGACGTCCTCTGTATATGACAGACTGTTGTTTCTCTATTGACACCCTCTGTATATGACAGACTGTTGTTTCTGTATTTGACGTCCTCCGTACATGACAGACTATTGTTTCTCTAATGACACCCTCTGTATATGACAGACTGTTGTTTCTGTATTGACGTCCTCTGTACATGACAGACTGTTTTTCTCTATTGACACCCTCTCTATATGACAGACTGTTGTTTCTCTATTGACACCCTCTGTACATGACAGACTGTTGTTTCTCTATTGACGTCCTCTGTATATGACAGACTGTTGTTTCTCTATTGACACCCTCTGTATATGACAGACTGTTGTTTCTGTATTTGACGTCCTCCGTACATGACAGACTATTGTTTCTCTAATGACACCCTCTGTATATGACAGACTGTTGTTTCTGTATTGACGTCCTCTGTACATGACATACTGTTTTTCTCTATTGACACCCTCTCTATATGACAGACTGTTGTTTCTCTATTGACACCCTCTGTACATGACAGACTGTTGTTTCTCTATTTACGTCCTCTGTATATGACAGACTATTGTTTCTCTAATGACACCCTCTGTATATGACAGACTGTTGTTTCTCTATTGACACCCTCTGTATATGACAGACTGTTTTTCTCTATTGACGTCCTCTGTACATGACAGACTTGTTTCTCTATTGACACACTCTGTACATGACAGACTGTTGTTTCTCTATTTACGTCCTCTGTATATGACAGACTATTGTTTCTCTAATGACACCCTCTGTATATGACAGACTGTTGTTTCTCTATTGACACCCTCTGTATATGACAGACTGTTGTTTCTGTATTGACGTCCTCTGTATATGACAGACTATTGACACCCTCTGTATATGACAGACTGTTGTTTCTCTATTGACGTCCTCTGTACATGACAGACTTGTTTCTCTATTGACACCCTCTGTACATGACAGACTGTTGTTTCTCTATTTACGTCCTCTGTATATGACAGACTTTTGTTTCTCTATTGACGTCCTCTGTCGACGTCTCCCGTGCATAATCTCTTTTTCCTTCAACTTTCTAACTATATCTAAATAGCCGTGTCGTTTGGTGGAACAACTTCCTTCATTGAGTGATGAATAGCCATCATAATTTGCCTCAAATGATCAACTGTCTCCAATGATTTAGTATAAAATTGTGGTAAACTCTAACGTAACTTTCTGAGCTATTCTGATCATCAGTGTTTCTATCAGAGTAACATCTGCAGGCTTTATATCCCATATTTGGTATTTAAACACATAAATGCCATAATTTTATGAAATATACGTTAAGAAACACACTTTTTGGAACATACAATTACACTATATATTTAAACACGTTTCGTCACATTGGTGTGTTAACTAGTAATCGTTGATGACAAATATGCACTTTGTATTGATGTAAATAAATGTATAATTAAATATGTGTATATATAGATGTAATAATTTCTGTAATCTTCTCACGTTAAAAACAATTGTTATTTAATGCATCGTGAACGGTTTATGTTATTTTGCGTATCGCGAGAGACCGTTATTGTCGTGCATTATTAGAGACTCCTTACTTCGTGCATCATAAGGGACTCTTATTTTCGTGGATCACGTGCTTAATCCGTTTAATTCGCGTTTAGTTAATTAAAAAGGTTTATTTAATCAATGGGTTATCGGTTAGCGCACTGGTAACGCACTTGCTTTTCACCTAGCCGTCCGGGTTCGATTCCCGGAACGGACTTGCCCAACTACGTGGGATTTTCCCCGGGTACTCCGGTTTCCTTCTGCAGTAAGATTCTTCACGGTTGTTGTAAAATAAATAAAGTTTGTATTAAAAGTTAATGAAGAGACGGCTTATTCGTGTTTGGTGAGTAACGTCCGTTTATTTAAGATATTGTAACAGACTACTTACCTGTATTCCGTGTACCGTGAAAAAACGCTAATTTTCACGTGTCGCAGTATTGTGTAATTTCAAATATCGTTAAGACTATTTATTGCGAATACACTAAGAGGTCCTTATTTCTCACTTGTCGCGATAGGTTGCTTATTTAATTCTTGGAGACGGCTTATTCCGTGTACCCTGAGAGGCCCTTATTTTTTCTTATGTCGCGAGAGATTGCTTGTTTTGTTTATATTTTTATCGTGTATCGTGAGAGACGGCTTAATCCGTGTATACAAAGGACCTTCATTTTCGTATGTCGCGAGAGATTAGTTCGTGCATCGTGAATGTATAATAATGTTGATCTTGTGTCTAGTACATGTATATTAATGAGTATATATAGCTATGGAAAATATTAACAACGAGCACATTGAAATTTTAACACAACCATAAGTCGTACGTATCATCAGGTATCATTATATAAGAGGCGGTCTTGTGTGGTTTACCACACTAAAGTGATATTGTAAAGTCTTGTGACTGTGCATGGTTTAACAGCGTGATTTACAATCTTGTATAGAACTTGTTCTGAAATTTATTCAAAATCATTAAACAAATTCAATTTATTTTTTACACCATCCAAAGTTATGCCTGGTGCTTTGTCTTATGCATTTGTTTAATCAGATATGGATTTAAACTTTACTAGCCATTCATGTGAGTATGAACGCTACACGCAGCTGTATTGAACACGTATATTTACTTGTTAAATAAGGAACTATTTGTATAGATAATGAGTTTCTGAACAGCCCGCCGTATATACAGACCTACGTATTCCTGTAGATGATCTCACACCATTAAAATGTACAGGATACAAGAATTAACGTTGCTGCAATTGTGCTCATAGCCCACTGGTATATACATTACTACAAACGGCTTCACATCATTCGAATGTGGAGGCAAACACTTGAATTCACATTAATACAGTTTTACTCATATACAGTCTTGCATTTACAAATTTAATTTGTCAGTTCGTATCAAGTATAAACCGTAACCACGGAAACGGTACACCGGTAAAATCAAGAACTTTTCAAAAGTAGAAAACTGTGTAGGGAACATAATACAAGAACTGCCTTGGTATGTCCTTTATAGCCGTTATCATACACATTTGGAGGCGTATTGCGCGATGATATACTATAAAATACATAACTATTATGACAATCTAAATGACATCAAAAGAATTGTACATAAAATGAAATGATAGAAAATACGATTTAAAACGTTGTTTCTAACTTGTGTCGTATCAGCAACTTCATTTTCACAAGGAGCTGAGAAAGGGACTAATCTATGCTGAAGTGGTTGTGACCTTGGACAAGACACTTTGTCATAATTACTCTGGGTGGCCAGCAACGGGCCTTCCGTATGTTGTTAAGTAAAATCACCACCAGCTATAACATGAAGATCCGGGTCCATCTCAAAATGACCCTGTTGTTCACGCGGTGATAAACTCAGCGAACTAACTTCAATACCCGGAATAGCTGGATGGGTACTATAATAGTGATCCTGGTGTTTCATTTACATGTATATTGGTGTTGCACAATTCAGTATCATTGCTATGATTAATGTTTATATGTAATTAAAGTAGGAATTTATAGACAATAATTTGTTTTTGTTGTTGTTGCTTTCTGTTGGACTAACAAAAAGAGATGTGCTTACCATTTACTTCACTTAGCATACAACATAAAAATTACCTGTAAAAACGAGATGAATCGTTGTCAGTTAAGGACTTAAACTGCAGTGTACAGCGTTTTCAGATATATAACAGCTAGATAGCTGACAAAAACTACATACATGTCACAAGACGGGTCGTTATCAAATACAGCATATAACGGTAGAAAATAAGGTACGTAAGAGGTCAGTCATTTGAAAATACACGACAGAAATCAGCCTCTGTGAATAAAATACAAATGTTCAATTCACATTTATTTTCAAACGATTGATAAGCGTTAATACATGGTATACAATACGCTAACTATAGAATTTGTAAATGATGACACATGCGGACGTAAATAAACATATCGTCAGTCATTGATCCACGGTAGTCTGGTTATGCTCTTTAAAGTGATCACTGACGACGATAAATAATTACACGTTGTGGAACCGCAAGTGTAGTCATGAAGTGTGCTAAAAATATAGATTTGGTACATGTACATCATCGGGATTCTATCAATAGATTAGGTATAGATACACGATTGGGAATTTATTTATAGATTTGGTACAGATACATTAAGATTCTATTTATAGGATTTGGTACAGATACACTATTGGGATTTTATAAATAGACTAGTACAGATACACTTTTGGGATTCTATAAATAGATTTGGTACAGATACACTATTGGGATTTTATAAATAGATTTGGTACAGATACACTTTTGGGATTCTATAAATAGAATTGATACAGAAACCTCAGTGGGGTTATATTATGTATAATTTTGCTGAATTACTGGATTATGGAACAATATATTGGAGGCGAATGAGTAATTAAGTCTAGGACGTGCTTTATTGATGGACTCAATAAAGAGGCAGAAGGATGAGACCAATGGAATCTATGAAAAGATAGAGGGTTGGGCCAAATCAAAGAAGAGGTAGAGGGTGGGATCAATGGAATCAATGAAGAGGTAGATGGGTGGGCCGATGGAATAAAGGAGAGGTTGAGGGGTGGGGTCAGTGGCATCAATGAAGAGGTAGAGGGTTGGGGTCAGTGGAATCAATGAAGAGATAGAGGGGTAGGGTCAGTGGGACCTATGAAGAGATAGTGGGGTGGGGTCAGTGGGATCTATGAAGAGGTAGAGGGGTGGGGTCAGTAGAATCAATGAAGAGGTAGAGGGTTGGGGTCAGTGAAATCAATGAAGAGGAAGAGGGGTGGGGTCAGTAGAATCAATGAAGAGGTAGATGGGTGGGGTCAATCCATCGTTGTGTTATGTATAAATTTTTGTAGCAAATGATGAGAGATAACTCTAATTGCTCTGATTTCTGCATCTGAGTATGTATCAGTGTACTATGTAAAACGTGCTACAAGAATTGTAACACAATGTAGTAAAATAACTACAAGACAAGTGTCGTTTAATCCTTTATTATAAGCCATATGAGCTGTTGGATTTGATGCTTAAATATCAACAACAATAATAACATGAATTTATAAATAGAATGACGAAGATATATATGGGGATGAGATTCTGTATATGGTATTGAGCATGAAAAAGGAAAGATGTCACTTTACCATTTAACCTTGACCAACAAGACTTCATAACCTTGATAATTCCTTGCAGACACAAACATTGACATTATTTCTTTTTAAATAGATGTTTATCAAGGATTCAAATATCATGTTGAGCTGAAATGATTTTGTTCACATGTTCAAACCCTATATGTTGAGCTGAAATGATTTTGTTCACATGTTCAAACCCTATATGTTGAGCTGAAATGATTTTGTTTACATGTTCAAACCCTATAATTTGACATGTCGGTAGCTTCATTAGGTTTTGTACCTTTAACTTAATAGTATATGTACTGACAAGGAATCATCAATGTTATAAAGAGGCTTTAACTCCAAATTTTTCCTTCCCCAAAATATTTCTACCTCTTATGACAAACACCAATTGTTTTGATTATCTAGATAATTGGGGTCTTTCCTACAAATTTGGTACGTCTTGACATAGACATAATTATACTAAAACTTCAAGAGATGAAATTAAAAGAATACTATTTTTAAGACACAAATTTTGCTATAAAATATGTATCAATATAAATAGAATAGACTGTAAGATGTTAGATAATTTAAAATTCTATTAATAATTTAAACACATAGTAATATCATGCCTTCTTTAGATAGGGAAATGGATCAGCAACATCTAAGATAAAATCAGTAATTGTTGTAATAAATCCCAAGGGACCTGGTTCATTGTCCTTTCATAAGTTGTCTTGACAAGATGACTTTGGCAAGTATTTTCCAAGTAGGAAGATAAAAAACCTTACAACAAAGTATGACAGAATTTGGCTAAGAACATATCTGTAAACAATGATGTGTGTATGGTTTATAAAATTTGAAATTATTCCAATGGAGTGCAAAGCCAAACAAGTTCTACTGATACATCCTTTTGTTAATTAAGGATATTGATAAGATATATATTTATATGTGTATATATAGTTATGTTACCCTCTTCCAGCTAAAAATAAAATGAAGTGATTCCATCTAAGACAACCAGGTATAAATACCAATTCTCAAGTATGTCCTATCATTACAATCAGATTTTCATATGTATAGTATAAGGTTCAACAGCCAGAAAGTCTTTGAAATAGAAAAACAAATTATCTTTTAAAAGATCAATGTATAAAAATGTTTGTAGCTTGAACAAAAACATCAATTTGGTTGGTAGGTTGGTTGGTTACAGATTTTCTGCCTCCTGACATTTACTATAAGGTACCTGGCATTGTGTCACCAATATCGAAGGCATTAACAGATTTACAATTTAACAACCACTTTGTTTACCAAAAGTTTTTCTCTTAAAGTTAAGAGCTATAGATTGGGGTTTTTTTGAAGAATGATTAATTTAACAAAAGAAAAATTGAAACTTTAAAATACAATGTAGAGAAATTCAAAAAATTGAAACTACATGCAAACAAAGAAATTCGTTGAAAAATTGTTAAGGAGCCATAGTAGTGGACTTTCAATAACTTGAACTATACAAAAGATTTCTGTAATGGATAAGATGACTTTCATATCACAAGTATAGTGGAAAGAGTTATGTCCCTTCACTACAACACCAACATATATATACATTATATATGTCTATGAAAACTTCCTACATGTATCAGGTAAAAAAATCCTGACTTACAACAGATACGTTAAATCTTTGGATATATATAAATCCTTGTCTGAATTATATAAATAAACAGTGGAGGTTCTCATTCTTGAATATGTAAATCTTAGTAAAATGGTACGCCGGAATAAAAAGTAATCCAACACTCCAGATTAATTTATAAATAACTTTAGTGTATCTTTTTTCTAACCAATTTATAAACTAATGAAATTTGGCAACACTTAACCTGATGGTTGACATTTTGAATCAAAGAATTTACATTTCCATGTTGAACATTTTAAATTTGTAAAATGTGTCTTTAACAAGTAACTTTTTAATTCTTACTTTCTACAGATTGCAATGTTTTAGATACTTTTACCTTCTTACTGATTTTCAACATATAAAATTACATTTTTATAAAAGTACTGTTACAAACTGTTTACACAAAAAACAATATCACATCACATGACATATGTTTAAAAGTTTTTTTTTTTTTTTTTTTTACAAAATAGAGCTCAACTTTTTTTATGATTCATATATTACATCAAGATGTTCATAATATTGAGAGAAAAAAAAATGCACCATTTTTTTTGCTTCTCTTTTGACTTACAATATAGTAATGCATTATAGTAAATTTTGTTTGTTTACACATATACCAAAAATTGATTGAAACAAGTGAGATGAGATGCGTGATGTGATAAACCAAGACTAAAAACAAACTTTAAATGTTCGCAAACCTACATAGAGAAAGAGAAAAAAGGAAAGCCTGAATCCGTTCAAAGTTTTGTAAATAAAATCATAAAGTAAGAAAGTTCTTCTCAAATTATTGTTTAACAGTACACAGTTAAAAACATCTTGCAAGCATTGCTGATAAGCTCAGGTTGAAAATTGTATTACACTTAATTCAATATATCATCTAAAGAAAAAAAAATACCAGAAAGCTTAGTTATTCAACATAGGAGGAAAATTGTATCATACAAAGACACTGCTTATATAAAGTTAAAATTAATCAGAGTGTACAATGCATAATAATAATTATATCATCGGGCAGTAAGCCTTATGCTTGGTAATAAGCTCACTCCTATTTAATGCTGGTCAGAAGAACTACCAATAATGGTATTTTACTGTCCTGTTATAAGTCCTCCTCAGTTTGAGAAAGAGGTAATAATGTATTGGCCCCTTGGGCTTACCACAGGATAAATACAGGTATATCTTTAATTTACGATACATGTATTCAGACTTGTATCATTATAATGCGAAACAAATACGAAGTCTAGAATATTAAGTTATAATATTATAAATCCAGGTAAATCATGGCATCCTTCAAGAAGCGTATTTCTTGAGGAGCACCTATAAAGTGTGAAACGGATTTTCATATTTTGGCATTTTGAGACAATTCACTGTCTGACCTTCTTAATTCATTTCTATGGAAATAGAAGTTGAAGGACTCAATGAATGCGGATTTTCCACAATACCCTGTCTCTCTCAGTCAATATCATATACCCTTCCACAATCACATCAGAAGGGTAATGATTTAGGGTAACTACTCTTAAATATTCAAGAATTGTTGGGTTATGTCCCTTGATAAGTTCTACGAAAGTCTAATTAATGTTATATTTACTTAATTATGGCAAACATTCTTCTTTCTCCATTCATTATATATATAAGTATATTTTTCAAGCTTATAGTGGTGTAGAAGGTTTTTTGATTTAATGATTTGATTAATTTTAGATCTAAATTCCATTTCAGATTAATTAAACATATCCATAATTATTGTTTGGTTTTGTATGAATGTAAACTTATTGCACAACCCAGTAACATTTGATTTTATATTAAAAGTCATTCTTTACTGGATTAATAACTACATCTGTATCACATATCCATGTGTTTTTTTAGAGATACAAAGAAATTTTAAAAAAAAGGGGGGAAGAAAGTAACAATAGTTTATTGGTCCAAAAAAAAAAGTCTTTTAAATCTACTTTTCAATTGGACTTAAAAGAAGAAATTTAAATACTGATAATAACCAGTTAATAAACTGCTGATCTGCTAAACACACCAGCTGTGTCAAATACAGGTTACAATACTTGTATACAAAGAACACACAAATAAATTAGTCAAAGATATAATGAATGGTTTGTTCAATTATAAAATACCACAATGAAGCTAGATGAAGCAATGGCCATGAGAATATCACAATTACCTGGAGAATGAGACATCGGGTATAACAGTGCGAAACAACATCAGTCCATTTACAAAACAAACACACGAAAAATTGTTTCTATCATCATCATAATGATATCAAACAAAGCAAAATACTGGCATGCGAAATATGAAATGGACATGTAAGCGCAAGACAACTTCTGGAGTCTTTAACATGGAAATTTACCAAACAAAAACTTAGCAACACTGAACAAAACAAAAATTCCTGCATAAATGGAATTGATGAAATGTTACATCCATGTCATGTCTTGGTCAAATTAAGGCAAAATTTTGCAGACACTCCAGGATAGCACCACATATGGGTACAGCATATCACCTGGTGTGGTTCCTGGTTACCAGTACATGTGGTCCCTGGTCATTAGGATTTGTCTGTTCATTATCAAATGAATTGGTCCAGTTTCACAAACATCATAAAGAGCTCACAGACATCACCTATCGTCTAACCACATGTGAACCAGATATAGACCCCATTCAGAGTCAGGGTTTATACAGAAATCAATCTCTGAGACTAGGACCATAATAATACTTCACTAATCACCCTTAAGTAGCTAGACCTCTTGGAGAGTATCAGAACATCAGTGACAAGCATGACAAGAAACTCTGTTATCTTGAGGAAAACATGTCCTTCACCTGCACAGGTAAATCTGTCTTGAAGAAAACTTGTCCTACACCTGCACAGGTAAATCTGTCTTGAAGAAAACTTGTCCTACACCTGCACAGGTAAATCTGTCTTGAAGAAAACTTGTCCTACACCTGCACAGGTAAGTCTGTCTTGAAGAAAGCTTGTCATTCACCTGCACAGGTAAGTCTGTCTTGAAGAAAACTTGTCCTACACCTGCACAGGTAAGATTGTCACATGTTTACATCTTGTTAATCGTCTACCCATATGGGTATTAGTGTTCATCAGAACCACATCATTACTATACACAATCAAGACAGATTGAACTGTTCCATACCTCAAACGTTTGGCTGGACATGTGTTAGTTCTTTTACTTAAACTCTCCTTCATTAAATAGGAAAATTGTTGAACATGTCTTTCCTTGACTTTGGCCAGGTGGGCCTCGTTACTGACAGCTGTCAGAACACAACAAAAGAATGATAAACACCACACTCTGGTAAGCTTTCCAGCAGTTACATCCAAAAGTAAGAATATGGTTTGTGTCAACACATTTCATTGTGGTCACAGTAAATATAAAAACTCTGACCAAAGATCTATATTCCACGTGTTTATCTTACCATGATGACGAATGATAAATCCTTATCAATTTCTGATTGCCACTAAATTCCACACCATGTGGCATGAAATGTGTAAGCAAGTGCTTTCCATTTTAGCTCAAAACTTAAATAGAGAGTTTGACTCTCCAACATACTCTTGGGATTCATCACAAAGTGGTATGATAATCACATCTTTATGGTGTTTCAGGTCAAGAACTTTCTCTTCCCATTCTTTTAACATCCAAATGTCCATCTTGTTAACAACTTGTGTCAAACAAGAACCATTCACTTTCAATAAAATATGTTAATGATGTTTCATGAACTTGTTTGTCATGCATTCAAATGTGATTGTGTTTCTCTCCATCTCCAGTCGAAAAAAATATCAGTTCTAAAAAAAATATTGGTTCTGAAATGTGAGGTCAAGATGGCAGGCGCAGATCACCCATTTTCACCTCTTCTCTGTACTCTCATTCACACAAACAACTTCAATTTGAACTATCAGTTGCCACAAATATCTCCACCTCTTTCTGTTGCTGTTTTTGTCGCATGGCAGCACGTTTTTCTGCAAGCATTCGTTTCCTTGCCTCTTCTCTAGCCCGTGCTGCTGCTCTCATCTTCTCTGTCCTTTCTGGAGAGGACTCTGGGGTATCCTTCACCTTCATTGCACGTCTACGTGAACCTGGTTCCAAACAAAAATATTTATCAACACTGTGCTTCTTAACAACAGATTACCATTTAATTTATGTGTGATTATCTCCCTTACATCAGTAAGTCCTTGTAAAGTCTTCACAATATCAGTGGACTTGAAAAAACTATATTATTGCTATTCCATTCTGATAACAAGTGATCTTGGACTTTAAATATGAACATAGATCTGAGTACATGTACTGTATTACCGTTTGAAACATTTACACTTTAGTCTTTTGACACTAAATAATCACTTTAAACAATGATAGACGTGTAAAGTGTTTGAATACTCTCACTGTAAGACTTTTCATATAATGAAAAACAAAATTCAGTTTAACCGTATCTCATAAAGACTGCCTTACATTGTTTCTATCAATAAAAGTCTAAATCTAGAAATTTCAGCTGGAAAGTTCTGTCAGTACCTAGAATGGTAAAACTTACATACGACACTGTCTGGGATACTAGAAGAGGTATCTTGTTACTACTAACTGCCCTTACCTGAAGTACCAAACAGGGTATTTTATTACAAAAGCCCTTGTCTAGGGTACCAGAAGGGGTATCTTTTTACTTAGAACTTACTTGGAGTACAAGAAGGTTGTTTTATTATTATAACATTTACCTGGGGTACCAGAAGGGGTGCTAGCATTGCTCAGGGACAGACTTCCAGACTTTGGACTTGAGTTGACCGAGCTATTCTGTGACTGTTAATGAAAAAAGGAAATGTTAATAAAGAGAATCAGAAATAAGACTGCAGCAGCCACATACTCCAATCCGGCTGTAGCAACCATATAACTAGTCACTTCTCATATTTCTAGGATATCTATTTGATAACAGTTAATGCAGATTGGTTAATATCTCTGAAATATTGACAGAATGTTTTAAATTAAAGAAATCAAGAATTATTCCTTGTCAACATGTGATTTATGTTTTTCAAATTGATCAACAAGATGTCATAATTAGCAATAAAATATTCAATGTTTCTATTGAAACACGAAAGTCTGTTATACACCAAGATAATTGGAAGCATATCTTATATGAGTTTCACATCAACAGCAGTGGAGAAGCTATCACAAAACACTGGATAGCAGGATAACTTCATCAGTAGTAGCTAGATTAAAAATGAATATAAAAAAGTTCTAACAATAGGAGGGACTGCCATAGAGGTATCAATAACGAAACAACAAGACAGATCACGAATGAACTATCACACACCTACACCAGAGGTTGTCTCTTAAATACGAGATGTAAAAACGGCAAAAAAGAACAAATATCATTTAAAGTACATGTCATCATGGTGTCTCCCAAAATAAAACTTAGCCTAATATCATATTCCTCACATTATGAGAATATCTATTGAATACTGCAGAGTGTCCATCCAATAACATTTCCATTATTTAAAACATGAAGAGTGCTGGTTCTGCTGTTTTTCTATTTCAAAACACAAAATTTTAAGTTTTCAAAGAATAAATTTGCAAAAAAATCCTTATTTCTACAATAATCATATAATGCACACTGTCCCTATATAATTACATGGGCATTCAGCTCCTTCCAGCCATTTTGTCTTGATAATTCAATTTCAGCAAACATCCGGTACACACTGTCAATTTGGAGTTTTATCATATCCCAGAATCCCTGGAGGTCCTCCACTTTTAGAAGTTTCCTATCTGCAGATGGCTCCTGTTGAACAAAAAAAAATTGAATTTAACAAAAAATTCACGGTTTGATCTTTAATTGTGATTATCACAGACTCTTTCAGTGTATTGCCAACAAAACAAAGTCCCTCAGTTCAAAACAATCAAATATCATTTACAAAACGAAATAATAAGTAGTGTATAATATTGGGCAAGTGACCAAATCTGAGACAGCAAAACCCTGTTGATGAGTTTATGAAGATATGGCCAGGACAAGGCGACATAAGAACCGTAGGAATGACAGAGTAAACTTCTACCTCTGTGTAATACCTGTATAACACCTTTCACTGGGAGAATACAATTTAGGAATTTATTTTGAATGACTTAAAGAAATTAAATAACTATTATGAAAATGTTCTAGCTTGATCACCTTTTTTTAATGATAAGAAAAGAACAAGGTTTACTGACTATCTTTATTTTGAATTGAGAAATCTGATCTCAATAATATCCTGTTTCAAATTAATACATGTAGGAATTCAGTGAATTAGTATACATTCACTATATGTTCACTACAACACACTTACTATGTGTTCACTACAAAGTTCCTGGAACTGTTTACATTTCTGGTCAACAAGCAGGTTAGCTTTCCCTATGGCTGCCCGGATCTTGCCTCTTACTGAAAATTGAACAGAGGAAAATTAGCATAGGGTTTACTTACATGAACAATGACATCTAAATTTGTAGCATCAATACAGGCGAAACAAATTCTGTTGAATTACAGATACCACTGAGAATTATCAAGTACAGGCTCCTGATAGATTGCAGTCTAATGATAGGATATCATTTAAAAAATACAATGATTAAATTTCAATCTGTCAAGAACACCCATCAGCCTGAGAAACAAATTAAAAAGGTTGACTTTACTTGTAGTACATAGGACAGGGATGTAAACCAGGTTATCAATTTTCTTATTCAAGGTTATTGACATCTAGGCGGAGGTGCTGGACCTCCTATACGACATTTAACTTTTCACCTAAGGATCATTTACATTTTTAAGATCTGTATCATAAAACCTATAGTGTTCATATTAACTTCACATAAGGAAAAGCTATCAGATTCAATGTTAAGTAGCATCATTTTTCATAAAATCACTTAGCTGTGTGAATCCTGTATATAAAATTACAGCTTGGAAAATCACAGATTTTATCACAACAGGATGAAACTGAAAGGTTAACTAGAGAGGTTGAAGTGCATTTTTCCTGGAAAAGATTTCAATGTGACATTTTGATGACAAAACAGTCACCTTCATCAGACATATGACCAGCGTGAAGCATACCAGCACTTAAGTACATAGTGTATGAGATTGTAACTTAACAATCAAATCTTCTACTTGTTGTTTTATAAGAACTTTTATTCTATTGAAAAATGATTTTACATTGTCCTGTAATGAAGCCTGTCCCTTGATTTCAAGTTGCAGGTTAAATGTTTTCCCCCTGGGTTTTCCCTGAGTCAGAGGTGATGTATCAGGCCCCTGATCTTCTCCAGGACTCTAAGCCAGAGGACATGTGTTTACCCCTTGGGTTTTCACCTGACTTTGAGTCAGAGGTGATGTATCAGGCCCCTGATCTTCTCCAGGACTCTAAGCCAGAGGACATGTGTTTTCCCCCTGGGTTTTCCCCTGAGTCAGAGGTGATGTATCAGGCCCCTGATCTTCTCCAGGACTCTAAGCCAGAGGACATGTGTTTGCCCCTTGGGTTTTCCCCTGAGTCAGAGGTGATGTATCAGGCCCCTGATCTTCTCCAGGACTCTAAGCCAGAGGACATGTGTTTACCCCTTGGGTTTTCACTTGACTTTGAGTCAGAGGTGATGTATCAGGCCCCTGATCTTCTCCAGGACTCTAAGCCAGAGGACATGTGTTTACCCCTTGGGTTTTCCCCTGAGTCAGAGGTGATGTATCAGGCCCCTGATCTTCTCCAGGACTCTAAGCCAGAGGACATGTGTTTACCCCTTGGGTTTTTCCCCTGAGTCAGAGGTGATGTATCAGGCCCCTGATCTTCTCCAGGACTCTAAGCCAGAGGACATGTGTTTACCCCTTGGGTTTTTCCCCTGAGTCAGAGGTGATGTATCAGGCCCCTGATCTTCTCCAGGACTCTAAGCCAGAGGACATGTGTTTACCCCTTGGGTTTTCACCTGACTTTGAGTCAGAGGTGATGTATCAGGCCCCTGATCTTCTCCAGGACTCTAAGCCAGAGGACATGTGTTTACCCCTTGGGTTTTCACCTGACTTTGAGTCAGAGGTGATGTATCAGGCCCCTGATCTTCTCCAGGACTCTAAGCCAGAGGACATGTGTTTACCCCTGGGACCTTTCCCTGACTTAAGATCAGAATTTCCAATGACTTTAAGTAAGCTGAGTTTATGTGGAAGTTTGTTTCTTTGATTTTCCTCTGGTGTCAAGTCATGAGTTTGGCCCCTGAACTTCTCCCTGACTTGAAGTAACACCCTGAGCTCCCCAACTCTATGTCAGAAGTAATATGTAAAAAGATAAGGCATTTAAAAAAGAGCTAACTTGTGTATAACATAACATTTAAGAGAAACACTCAAGTACTATATTATGGTAGAGTTATCTCCCATATTTGAACGAACCTCAAACATTGCTGTGATGTGAAGGTTTATCACATCGACAAACCACTATGTTCCGAGATACAAGTATGTATTTCTCAGCAATTTAAAGAAAAATTACCTTTGAATAGAGAACACTTCACAGATGTATACTGATAAGAATTTAAATCCTTGGGCTAGGAAGGACTAAGATACACATGCTTTTATCTCGATTTGTTACTTAATGCCTTTCCTTATTACAAAATGTATATTGAAAATTTATTCTTAAATTTCTGATAATCAAGTTATTATTTATATAAGCCAAACAATATCTTTTTGCTGCTGTTCCTTCTCTTGCTTTGAACTCTGATCTGGGTAAATGGACTCCCTGGGCTTATTACAGGATAACTATGATATTAGTCAGTATTTATAAGGTCTATACACCACTCATTACCTTCCTCTGGAACCTCATCACATTGCAGATCCACCTCCACATGTGCACAGTGGGATGAAAGACTGTTCTTTTCCAATTCTGTCAATCGCAGGAAATATGCCCCATCCTGTAAGTGAAAAAAAATTAAACAAATGTTGAAAAGTAGTAGCAATGCAGATCTACACTATAAGGAATGATACTCAATACTGTAACACACTCTACAGTATAAGGAATGATACTCAGCACTGTAACACACTCTACACTATAAGGAATGATACTCAGTACTGTAACCCACTCTACACTATAAGGAATGATACTCAGCACTGTAACCAACTCTACACTATAAGGAATGATACTCAGTACTGTAACACACTTTACAGTATAAGGAATGATACTCAATACTGTAACACACTCTACACTATAAGGAATGATACTCAGTACTATAACCAACTCTACACTATAAGGAATGATACTCAGCACTGTAACCCACTCAACAATATAAGGAATGATACTCAGTACTGTAACACACTCTACACTATAAGGAATGATACTCAGCACTGTAACCCACTCTACACTATAAGGAATGATACTCAGTACTGTAACCCACTCTACACTATAAGGAATGATACTCATACTGTAACACACTCTACACTATAAGGAATGATACTCAGCACTGTAACCCACTCTACACTATAAGGAATGATACTCAGTACTGTAACACACTTTACACTATAAGGAATGATACTCAATACTCTACACTATAAGTAACTCACACTGTAACACACTCTACACTATAAGGAATGATACTCAGTACTATAACCCACTCTACACTATAAGGAATGATACTCACACTGTAACCCACTCTACACTATAAGGAATGATACTCAGTACTGTAACCCACTCTACACTATAAGGAATGATACTCAGTACTGTAACCCACTCTACACTATAAGGAATGATACTCAGTACTGTAACACACTCTACACTATAAGGAATGATACTCAGTACTATAACCCACTCTACACTATAAGGAATGATACTCAGCACTATAACCCACTCTACACTATAAGGAATGATACTCAGCACTATAACCCACTCTACACTATAAGGAATGATACTCAGTACTATAACCCACTCTACACTATAAGGAATGATACTCAGTACTGTAACCCACTCTACACTATAAGGAATGATACTCAGTATGTACATATACTTCTGTATATGATTTTCAACTTCTAACAGTTGTGCTTTAAAAATGTATACCAGTTTTCAATTTGATTTAACCCATTTGTAGAAGTTTTCATCATTATTCCAAATTAATCAGTACTTAATAAATTCTGATTACAAAAAAAAAAAAAATTTGAAACATATTATGCTATCATCTTTATCAAGGAATAATATAGAGCTAACTGATCATTTCAATGTTGTAGAGGCCATACTGTATAACAACAGTCTATATTACCCTACTAACATATGGTCAGTCAATGCTTTGTTGCCACGGAAAATCAATAATAACCATCACAATAGAGTTTATTGGTACATGACAATGTATACACATGGCTGGAGATGTTGAATTCCATAGAGAAGAATTCCCTAGAGAGGAAGATGAAACAGGAAAAAGCTTTCTGTCAAAATTGATTATACTTGTTACAAACTATACGAATTCTCTACACATGTTGAGGATGCTTTTTATGCCTATCTTTTAATAATGGTCAGAAAATCAATCTATAAACCAAAAAAACGATCTGGAATGTTTAGTATGGATGTATATCATTGTAAAAATACCATCACTGTATAATTTCCTTACAGAATAAACATGTGTTGGTAATTATACACAAAAGCTTAATCATGTAGTCAAAAATCACATGAACTAATATCATTTTCAATTATCAGACATAGCTTTTGATGCAAATGTATTTCAAGTTACAATATATGTATTTGTTTAATATATACAGGCACAGACTTGTGTTTTGTTATTTTATTTATTCATCTGCAAAGAATTAATTTTTATTCTATATGTACATATATGTAAATACCAAAGGTGAGCTGGTGTAAAGGTTATATATCAGATCTAAACTTAAATGACTAAGTCCTGGCGTTTGTGCATTGTCTGATGAAGGTGTGTGAAAACTTCAACATAACAATACCTTTCCTGTTAAAGCCAACATATGTATAGGTATGAAATGGTCAGGTCAAATCACAATCGCAGAAAATCTACTTATGACTCAACCGAAACCTGAAAATTATGGCGATAAAGTATATATACCAGATGAGAATTACTCAAGGAAATTTTAGGTCCAACAATAGTATGTTTCATATTTTATGGTAACAGCACTTACTTGATGTCATATACACTTTTTGATGTGATTGATGAAATTCATCACAAATTTTTAATGATAGCTCACCAGAAACTCTTGAAATGAAAAAACTAATACTAAGTTTCATACACCTACACATACATCACAGTTGATAAAATGGAAATGATGTGAGGATCTTTTCTATAACATGATCAATTATTTTTCGGAATATAGAGAAAAACATGCTTTTTCATGGCATTCCTGATCACCCTGGCTCTTTACTAAAAGTTTCAATAATATGGTATGTCATCATTTCATTATCATGTGTTCATATGGCAATAATATGGACCAGGGGGTGTATATCACAAGGGTATTTGAGTGATGAAAAGTTTCACAATTGATACAACACTGGGATGCACATACTTGAGATTGACTAATGCAAACCCTGTAATTTGAAATTATCTGTAAACACCTGTATCCCAGAACAATGATCACAGTGAACAGAAGGTGTAACATAATATATATGGATAGTGTACTTGTGATTTTCAATTTATATTATAGGGATGGGTTTGTTGTTCTGTTTATAAAAAAACATGTTCAAAGCCAAGCAGAATGATAAAACAACACCCTAGTATATATCATATGGACATGTAATCTGTATGTACAATATACCTACAAAGTATTGGGAGTAAACAAGCATATTAAATCTGTTACACAAAGTCACACGAAAAATGTATACCATTCACATGCACTGCACACAGTCCCCAGATAATATCGTGCGACTTTATCTTACTGAATGTAGACCTGTAATCAACGCCCATTGCTCCCAAAGTGGGCCTCACACTAATTGAATGTACATTGCTGAAACCATTTGAACAATAAATACAGTGAATTCAAATTTTTTCCTGAAGAATACTTGAAAATTGGCTGAAGTGTCAGATCCCTGGTGCTAGAGTTAATTTCCCATACAACTATTTTTGGCTACACATCAAGAAATATAAGTGTGATTGAACTTTACAGTAAGGACTGAGTGGTTGAGCCCGGCTTCTATACATTGTGGTGTTTTGTAGGCGCTGGTCTGAATAATATCTACCTTGCAGGTAAACTAGTAGCTAGTACAATATGGTCGGTGCCAAATGTTCAGGGTCAAACAAATTATTTAAAAAATGGTTGTTTTAATTCCTTTTGTATTATATTACTTTTCCTGCTATCAGATCAGATTCTCTTGTTGTATGAGAATCAGTCCTTTTCAAACTTTTGTTTTATGTAAGGTGACAAATCCAGAAGAAAGGCTGAATATCAGAGTCGGAATGACTATTCTAAAATGTTTAATTATTCAATTTAGTTCAATATTTTACATATTACAAGGAGTTCCCAAACTTTTGAATGTTTGACAGAATTTATGAAGATCTAGGATTTGGCTGCTTGTGTATGATGTAGGTCTGTGGTATACATACAAGACTGATTCAGTTACATAGTTGACATATTTGACCTTATCTGTGAAATGTGTCTAGTAGATCAATGTACCTACAGATAACACAGGGCAGATCAGGCTTCTTGTTATCATGGCTCATGATCAGCCATGTCAGCTTTGAAACACAATATCAGTCAAAAAATGATATTTGTAGTTTGATTCATTTGGGTTGTTTTTTCTTTTTTTCTTTCAGTATGAACATTATATGTAGATTTTGAAATGCAAAATGGTAAGACAACAGTGCATGATTTTAAGCTTGCAAATGCATATAAATCAGTATTGCTTTCATTTCCAGTAATAAAAGTCAGATTAAGCCTTGTTAGATTTCTAATAAAATCGTAAACCTATTGAAATTTTGACGAAAGTAAGAATCTCATGCACTGACTGTACTGATATAAATAAAATAAAACTGTGTTTGTCTTCATGTTAGCTGATGAAAAGGATTTATTTTAGTTACATTTTTCTGAGCATGAAGATGACTAGAAGCCCCTGATAAGTTACTAGTGTTGACAGGTCTGTGATCTCCTATATTGGCCAGCTAGCTGATATAGAAGACTATCTAATACCAAATTTTATGTCATTGACCATCAATATATATTCATAGAAGGACATTTAACACAGACTTCCATACAACAACGCCAACCAATGAACTGATCACCTTCTGTATAGGAGGTAAATTAATTATATATGTACCATGAAAATAGTCTACTGTAACAAAGTTGCTGACCTGTACATACCAGGGGTATTCTGACCTAAATAGCAGAGACATAACAATATAATAATGATTTGAGAGTGATAAATCATTCACAGGCCCTGAATCATTGATGTTATAAACACATCTATAAGGAGGCTTTCTCCTCTTGTCACTGAAAGTAAATCAGCTACACCCACAAGGGAATTACGTATATAGATGTACACACCGGTAGGATACTAAATTATATATTGGTAATTGTGATATATAATAATGTATTTTAGTTATCATTGCTAACATTAATATGCTGATGTATACATTGATTAAGAAAGATACCATCTCTACCTAGAGCTGCATATACCATTATCACGCTAAAGTTAAAAGCGAACTGTTTTTTATGACTCATCATTCTTGGAAAACTAGCCCATATATTTTTTAACTGATACATTGATTGCGAAAAATTTGGCCAATGGCCTCATTTATTTGCGTATCCTTGTGCATTTGAATTGAATCTAAAGCAATTACTCAGCTCAAATGAACTCCTATGGCTATCAAGATGAGAAATTAATTCAATTTGGAAGAGAAAAAAATTTTGATTTTGAAACAATCCAATAACATGGAGCACTGATTTAGAGTTGATCTGCTATTCCTGGCCATGGTTTATGTAATGAACGGAAGCCAGGAAATCACATTTGTCTGATGTCACATTTTTTTCTAAAACTACTGGGCTGTTAGATTCAACCTAAAAAAATCAGCAATAACTGACAGAGAAAGAGACCAAAAGCAAAACACAATGTTTTACCTAAGGCAGGATCCCTTCAATCTGTATGTGATGGACACAGACAGGGCAAAGTCTATAAATAATGCTCTCAGTCTCTTCATGACACAGGTATAACAGTCTCAAATTTTTAGTGAGCTTTAAATAACTCTATAAATAATGAAGATAGTCATACAATGATACTGGATCCTACAGCAGCTGACCTAGTTTGGGAACTGATTTTCATATGACCTACTTACAGAAGTCTGGCATGATATGTCCCATACATGTGTGTTGTCATGTGAGCCTTACCAGTTTGGGGTCTCCAGTTGGATAATTCTCATTTGATAAACCATGTCCATTTTCCATTCCATTGCAATCCCCGTTTGACACCCCATTACACAAATCCTCTCCGTTAGGTAGGTCACCATGGCTACCAAGTGATGATGTCACAGACAGAGGTTGTGGTGAAATTAATCCAAATTCATATCCACGCTCACTACTAGTCCTTCGCCCATCAGGGGAAGTAACTTTTGTCACAGGCATTGTGTCAGGCGACAGCAAGTCTGACCGTGACGAGGACACGCTAGAATATGGGGACCGTTTCTCAATGTCGCGGTAGGATGAGTATTGACTGTATTTACCGTATCCACTCACTGCACAACTCAGTTTTAAATATGAAGGTGATTTAGTACACTCCTGTAAGGGGAGATCACCACTGTCTGCAAGCTTCGGCATGCTGCTGATGTTAAGTCCATTGTCGTGTGTTGGCTCGCTCTGTGTGCGCCGTCCCGACTTTACTGCAGGAATTGCTGGCGTGCTGGCTGCTAGCGGACTTAGGGGTCTTTCTGAGGTCAAGGTCAAGAGATTATCTCCATGGTGTCCTATGTGGCCATCGACTGCATCAGTCGTACTAAGTGATGGTTCACTCACTAAAATGAAATGAAAAAAATATTAAATATTGACTTCACAAGTCCAGGTGGGAGAAATAAGCAAAGATGAAGATAACTGTAAACCAGATCATGGAATGAAGCACTCTTGTCATGCAATGTGCTCACAAACTGAGTATAAACCCACTAAGTCTATTCAACATCAGGAGCCAAGATTTTGGTTAGTAGCAGTCTGTAAGACATACTAGCTCACTATGCCAAATATTTCAGATAACTGTAACTTGAAGGAGAAAAATATGTATCTAACCCTACAGTGAGAAATATCAGAAAATCCAAGACATAAAATTTGATTCAGCCAAGACTAACTATCAACACATAAGTCTCACACTAAGTATACACTGTGTTTATCATAACAGTACTTTATCTGATTTTTTGTCACGACATCCAGTATTGAAACACAAATAAGATTGTCAGCAGAATGAATAATTAAAGTGGCTGCTGATGGAGGTTAATCTCCTTATCATGTTTAATGCTTCATGGTGCAGGTGGCTTCAGTTTTGCTTTCCAAGGCTGTTTTATTTCAGAAGTAACTTGTAGGAATACCTTAACATGTACTTATCTTCCTTGACAACATCTGATGTTGTACTTTTTCAAACAACTTATTACATCAAACAGCTTTAATATCTGGATACATATTTATGCACTATTTTATATTTTTTAACTGTTAAGGTTTTACAGGGTTATATAATTTATACAGCATCAAAAGAAGAGTTCCACTTCTTGGCAGTCTTTTTTTTTTTTTAGTTAATTCTTTCTTTTCATCCTCGAAATTTCAGAGGTTACAGTACAATCACTCACAACCTCTCCACACTTCCTTCTATGATTTGATCAAGACCAATTTTATTTCTGTCATTCTTGATAATGCTGTGTGTTTACAATACAGGGGTACATTTTTGTTATTAAAGACAAGGGATAGCTGTACAGATTTTGTTTATGTTTTCTGATCTGTAGCACCTATAGTGCCAACTATAATATATCCTGAAATGTAATATGTAAGTATTCCCTGATTGGGACTTACATTATTATTGTGTTTTTCTATAGAGATCACTAAAGTTTCAGTTGATCAAATTGCTACCAGCATTATTCCAATACATAGTTAACTTTGATCTGGGATGTTACATAATAAATCAAGATGAGAAGATAGTTGTATAGAGCTATTGAACCATTGATTACACCAGGTGAAGAAACTGGTAATTGTCAGTAAGTGGAGACAATGAGGATGAATTATGAGATGATATTAGGGCTGCAGTAAGTAATGAAGTAACAATGAGAGACACCCTGGCACCAGATCTTGTTTGATCCCAACAATTAACATAACCTGACTTATTTTATCACAACTCTAAAATCATGTAGAGTATGGCATATGTTAGATTTTATGTGTGTGGTGTTCTATCACACCTAGCCATCATCTGTTTGATTCATAAAAAACTGAAAGATCAAACAGATCAAATTCCAACAGGCAAACAGGAATCTGTGCTAATAACTATTGTGAAATACTGCTGATTAATTGATTTACAGATAGAATCACTAATACCTAGGACAGTACTTCTAACAGGTTTAGCTGGTTGCTTCAGGAGACATCCTTGACCAAAATAAAATCAACCCTCCCCATTCAACTTGGATCCACCTCACCCAACCCATCATGTCTGTTTCTCATCAGATACACCTCTTTTTAGCACATGTAAACATCATCCTATCATCTGTATATGTATCAGTCTAAAGTAAAAATATACAAACATACAACAATAATAGACTGACCATCACCCCACAAGTCACGAGTTGGCAGTAGTACAACAGTCCGTCATCATTATAGAGGCTGGATTCCTCCAACAAGCCTAAACATACACAGACCATATAATTAAATTATGAACCAGCATTATTTCTAGGAAGTTTTGCCAACTTTATAATCTCTCCCTTCTCTGTTGATATGATCCCTGTTTCACTCCTAAATGACAGCGGGGTAGTCTGATTTCACAACATGACCTTGAAAATTTGACCTTTTTAATTATAGAAACTGCTTGATGTAGTCAAATCAGAAACAAGAATACTTCTTTGAAAAATTATTTCAATTAGACTTTTTTATGAGATGGTTTAAATTGGAGTATTCTTGAGGAAGAACATACATTAACTGGTATTGAACATAACAGCATTGACCTATATAGCTTGGCTGCAGCTTATGTTTCCCATTATATGTCAGCAAACAACATCAACATCAAACATGACATTTTGATATAGAGCCAGGAATGGAAAAACTCTTGAATGTATGTCACAGCATCAACCATTCCTTCTTACCTTGCGAAGTACATTGTGCTTTTTAATACACCAAAGAGCTGTAAGTTATGTCCCTTTTTACCTATTGCTTCTGTCTAAATAACTTTAATTGCTTGCTCAGAATATTGATGGACAAAGTAAATGAAGACTACAAATGTCACTGCTGGTCAATAAATCTTTCCACAATAACAAATAAGGAAAATACTTTCTTAAAAAGTTTGTTTGCTTATTGCCTAATGTGAACAACCAGGGTCATTTGAAATGACATCTCCTTGTAATATCTGCAGGAGCTACCTCATTTGATATCACAATAGGACAGTCATCTGTCACATAATGTAGTGTTGCTTGGCCTCTCCACAATATGTCTGCTGTTGATCAGGTCAGAGAATTTAATCTTCAGGCATGTTGACACTATGGGATCCATACAAACACGGTACTTAGTCCCATTAATAAAAGATGTTGGGCCCTAAAAATTTCAATGAGCACCACAGGAAAATGAAGAGTCCAGGACTCAAATAAAACAAGTTTGACATTTTTCATATGTATGATAACTTAACATCCATCTTTACCTCTGCATCAATGGTGTAGGGAGGATGTAATCGAGAATAAGAGAAATGATGGACATTTAAAAGGATCACAAATCATCAATTTCAGTTTTTTTTTCATTGAATTTCCCTTAGATTTATGATCCATACTTCACTTAACAAGGGAAAACTACATAGCTTAGTGATAAATAGACCTGTTACAACTATACAAAATGTTAGTACGGCTTATTACAAATAATAAATTATCTACTAAAACAAGGCTTGCACAAAACCTTAACTGAAAACCAATGCCTTAATATGAACCAGTGACAAGTTATCTGTGATCTATTTATAGTGTAAAGATTTTTAACTCGTTGGCATGCTGGTTAGATGGACAGTTAACATGAATGGATACATAATATACCAGAAAAATATCAATATGTAATATTTATCATGACCAGTGAGTCTATTTTAGCATCAATGGATGAAGTTTACCAAATGTATATATATATATATATTGGTGAATCATCTTGTGAGATTTCTGCCACTTACTGTCGTACGCTACAGGGTGAATCATCTACAGCTAATCCTATAATCAATTTCCTGAAAACACACCTTGTAATGAAGCAAACAAACACCCACAGTATCATAATATACACATGCAGTCTAAGCATTATGTGGGGATTACACAAGGAATCTCGTCCATCTAGTAGTACAGTAAAAATGAAAGTTATATAGTCATTATTAGATATTTCTTGGCAAAGAGAAAGTCATGCTCACCAACAACCTCAAAATGTAATAGACGAATCTACAGATATTTCAATTAAATATATATGTAGATAGTGAGATAATGATATATCTAACAATCAGAGTAATCCTGTACACCTATAGGTATTTGTCTGAGCTAATTTCTACTATATTAAGAAAATGTACTAGGTATGTTCTTCACGAAACTTCCCTATAGGATAAATACTTCCGAGTGATATGCTACATTTATAGACCTGTTCATAGACAAAACAGTAAAAAGTGACTGTCTGCCTTTTTTACCCTGACTGTGTTTACAATACTGTCTTATAAAATTTTACAAAAAACTTACCATACTTACTGGTACATAATTTGTACCGGTATATTTCCAGCCAACAGCTCCACATGAGTGCTGGTTCAAATCTAGCAAGGCTTAGAACCACATGTGGTGCTGTACTGTCACACCACAACTATAGTTTACAACAAATACACATGGTAATCACCTTGCTACAGAATGTTATTTTACTGATGGTTTAAGTCTGGAGCATAATTCTCTCTCCTACAGTTTCCATCCTGTATTCACTGTGAAAGCTCATGATGACATAATTAACATTTAAATAGCATGTCTTTGACACTTTTTTCTATCCAAATGCTCCAGTAATGAATACCACACTTGAACCTGTCAAGGTTTTAGTCCACACCAGCATTTAAATTTTCATCACAAAATATCTGTTTTAAAGACATCTCATTAAACATTTAAGACTATGCACACATGTACCTACACATGTGTCAATTACAAATGTACCTAGCTACACACAATGGACAAGTGTACTGGCACTCCATACAAATGTGTACAGTACCATGGTCCAAAGAAACACATATGATGTGTGCTCATTATGATCAGTTGTGTGTGGATCCTGAGAATAAATTCATGGATTCCTCTACCAGATGGAAAAATGGTCATGACAGTTACATCACACTGACACACCAGACACCAGCCACACTTGTGTTGGGTATTATAACCGTCAGAGCAGTATATCTCACACAGCTTTGTAACTTGGGGGTCCTCACACTTATCTTAGGACCCCCAATATAGTTCCTTTATAGTCCCCTTACAACCCATCCACCAGTAGCTCTAGAGCTGGGGAAACCTGCTGCATGTAGACTCCTAGCTCTGCTCGGAGACAAGTTGTGTGGCTGGTTTCTCAGTACACACTACCAGATTCCACTTGTAAATCCATCACCAGACAATTCATGTGCTCTGACGATTTTTTCTCTCATTTTAATCAATAGTGTGCAGTATTTTTTCCCTGGTGACCTAATACAGTGAGTACATCGCAATATCAACATTGATCTGACCATCATTTTTTTCCATCCATTGGGAATTATCTCATCCCCTGAGGAGAGTAATGTCCCCTTATTTAGAATCAGCTGAGAACTTAG